CAGTGTGTGTGTGTGTGTGTGTGTGTGTGTGTGTGTGTCTCTCTCTCTCATATGTGTTCACTTAGCAACCATTTTGTTTAATGACCAAGTCATCAGAACCAATTGCAGTCACTAAATGAGGACTACTTATAATGTGTCTGTGTGATATAATATTCTCTACTTTGACCGGTAGCAGGTTTCAAAAGTCTCCCCAAATCTGGTGGCATTTGCTACCTAATAAATCACTGTTCATATGCTTGCTTACCCATTATATGTTAGATGGAATGTATAGAGGATGGTTGAAAAATTATTCCAAGGAAAAGGATATTATTTTGACTTAAAATTTTTATATGCCTCTGTGTGTGTGTGTGTATGCGTGCATTTATATAAATTTCCATCCCATTCTTCTTACTGCATTTAACAATAGTAAAATATTAAACAGAAGCAAATATAATAAAAGACAGTATACACAAGTCAATGCAATAATCTTAGAAATTATTACTAGCCAGTCTTGGGTTTTGTTTAATTTTATTTTGCTATCTGGGAGATAAAAATAAATATATTCACTTTATTTACCATATATTTATATTTTATATTATGTCTGTCACTGAATTTTCTAGGGCTTGAGTCATCTCCATCAACACAAAGTAATCCATCGAGATATTAAGGGACAGAATGTTTTGCTAACTGAAAATGCAGAAGTTAAACTAGGTAAGTTGTGGGGACATTGGATTTTCATTTAAGGAAAATACTAGGAAGCATGTATTGAGGCTTAATTGAAAAATCTTCACTGGTCCTGCCTTCTAAGGAATACCAAAGCTGAGAAGTTCTCTAAATTTCTAGGCAGTAGGTCTGAACATTGACTTTATACCAATCTACTTTACTCAAGAAATTTGAGGGGAAAAAATCAGAGGATTCATAGCTATGATCAATCTTAGAATGTACAATATGTACAACCAAAAGGTTGTGAAGAATACTAGAAAATATGGCTTTCATCTTGAAATTGCTTATGTTGTTAGAATAAAACCCTTAAAATTCTTGAAAGTTTATGCTTAAAAAAAAAAATGAGATTCTGGCTAGGGATATCAGCATGCCATAAACCCTTCCAGCTGTCCCTCTTGCTCTCAGTGTCACTTTAAATTTTCATGAGCATTTCAACACTACTTCCCAGCGCATTTAAAATATGTGAATTTTGGATGGGTATTGAATGCATACAGGTAAAATATACTATTTCAGGAGTTATACATTAAACATTAGTTGGTCCTTGAGGAGATATGGCCAGAATGTTTAAAGAAGAGATAAAGTCAAAAGTAACTAGAAGAGATCAGTATTATTTGTGCAGTTCTACTGTAGCTGAGCTACAATGCTTTCTTCAAGGAGCTCAACACAAAAGTCTCTGTTACTGAAACTTTGTTGTATTTTGCCAGAAATGGTCTTACTGAGTCCTAATCCAAAATCAGAGCTGTATCAAAAAAAAAAAAAAAATCAGGGATTGTGAAGTAGGACATAATGGAGGTTTTATTTGTTTTTTTAATTGCTTTTGTGATTGAAACATTGCAAAATGATCCTTGAGATTTAGTTTTGATACAGATTCATATCCAGCATGGAAGGAAATACTAAAAAGTACCTTCTAAAAATAAGAATAAAGTCTTAGATAACTCCATTTCAAACCTAAGTTTCTAGCATAGAGGTTGGTAGTCTTTTGTGGCCTGAGGACTTATTTCATGATCTCCTACAATGTTCAAGATGCTTCTTTTTGTAGATATTGTAGAAGGAGAAATGTATTAATCTCCAGTGGGAAAAAAAAATCAGGAATCTGGTAGACCTTTTCCAACTAACAAATTTGATTAAAAGGCATAAGTGTTTATGAGCTGCAGTTCACTTCATTAGATGCACAGAGTGACTAGACTGATGTAGGAGTTAAACTGGGGTAAGGTGGTGGTTATGCAGATGAAGGTTGCATATGAGACAGATTACAAGTACCTTATGAATTAACAATTGTAATGTGTTAAAAAAATCTTTTGTGTTTGTTGAGAACATCTAAAATTGCCTGAAATATTTTGATATGTGAGTTCAACAATTTCTTGTTCAATGGTGCTGTTAAAGTCCTGCTTGAAGTACTCTGATATTACCTTGTCCTTGTTTTGAGTTAGTTGGAAAAGATGATATAAAATTCCTGGATTTTTTTACAATAATTAAGGTGTCCTCTGTGACAACATCTCACAAGATCTCCTATGAGAACTCTAAAGCTTCATATGTTTTCATCAGATTTCCAACATCTTTTTTTTTAAAAAAAAACTTATTGGGATGTGTAATTCTTGAGTTCCGTAAGGACTACATGGCTGGTACTTGCTCTAGCAAAATGGTCTATTTGATTTGACCCTCAGATCCATAAGATACAGGAAAAAGTTTACATGGTGGGATGAGGGGCTGAAATTTCTCAGTATTCTCCGTGTTCTGAAATTAATGAAACATTCTAAACTTGAATGAAATTTTGCCCTCTTCATGGGGGTTATCTTGTATGAAATTTAGTTTATTTTATGTAATTTTAATGAGTCCCACATTTTTTTAACCCTTTACCTCATTCAAATTCTCCTATCATTGCTTTTTTCAATTCCTAGTGGATTTTGGAGTCAGCGCTCAACTAGACAGAACAGTTGGTCGAAGAAATACGTTTATTGGAACACCATACTGGATGGCTCCTGAGGTCATCGCCTGTGATGAAAATCCTGATGCTACTTATGATTTCAAGGTATCTATAGTTATTGGCATAGATCACATTTAGTAGCCAGTACTGTTTTAAAGCCAGTTTTAGCCATAGGAAGATAGAGTACAGCTTCTAGCAGGTCTAGGATCAGACCTGGTTTATGTACTGGAGCAATCCCAAAGACAAAACAGATTATAGGCAAGCTATGACGTATGTCCATTTACGACAGCTAGACTATTAAGAAAGTTGATGGACTAAGAGTGGAACTTATAAGGTGACAAGAAAAATAACTGGAGACATATGGGGAAGGAATCTCATTGCTGACTCAAGTAAAGTCCTAGGTTTAACCAAAGAATTTATACTCAGTCTAAGCAGAACTTAGGTGATGGTACATGAAGGATATGCTGTTTATATTTCCATTGCATTCATAGGTTTGAAAAGCTCATTGTTGCACAGACTGAAAAATCCAGGTTTGGGTCTCAGCCAGTCCTGAAAAGATGTTTCAAGAGGGAACACAATTTGTATGGCTTAATTAATAATGCTCAGTGTATAACTAGAGAGAAAATTACATTTGGCCATCTTTAGTGCGCTTAACCTGTTTGCTCTTCCCTTTCCTTTCATAATTTTTGTTAAAGAAATGTTTAACAAAGTAAAAACCATAAGAAAAAAATAAAGATAATAAAGAATAGTAAATAGTGAAAAAAGAAATAGAAAAGTAAAAGAAAGAAAAGAAAGATTATAAAGAAGCTGCTTCCAATCTTCTTGACACCAGTTATAGATCCATTTTTACTTTGCCCTCTTTCTCTAATGTTACATCATAATTTCCTTCTTTCCATAAGCTACCCTTTCTAATCTTCAAACCCATAAATCTGTTAGCTTTTCTTTTTGATGAAAAAGAGCTGCAGGGCTACAATCAAGATTGGACCCTGAATCAGACCCATGAGCTGTATATGTACATGTGTGTGCATGCTCATGTGTATTTGCTGAATGTTATTCTTTGTTAGGTACTTGAAAGAAATGTTTCAGACAAGGGGTCAAGGGGATAAATAATGAAAACTGTGTGAAGATGTCTTGATGCAAGTGCTATACTTGTAAGAACAAATATGTAAGGGCAAGATGTGTGTCATGATGTCATTGCATATGTGTTATCCTCTGTTGTGGAAGCTGCTGTTTGCAGTGAACCACACTTTGGAGAAGGGGGAAAATCCACAAAGAAGCAACTTAACAGATGAAGAGGTTAGTTTTTCTTCAAAAGAAGAGCATACAGGTTGAGTGTATCTGTTGAAGCAGTTGCTTGTCCCTCAATTGTTATAAAAATTTAGACCTTTCCATGATTTTCTTGCCCTAAACTTGCAGGAAAATTTTCCCGTGAGTATCTTTGAACTGGAGATCATGACACAATTACATTGAAGCACAGTACAGTTACAGAGGTTACTTTATGCTCTTTCTCTGATATTAAAACCCTTTCTAGACATATTTATCTTGAGTTAATGCCAAGTTCCAGTTAAGATAAAACTGGAGCCACACTGGTTCTGTGGACAGTGCCTCAGATCAAGAAGGAGGAAACCCAAATTTAAATCTCCTTATCAGCGATCAATCTCACTTGCTATTCTCAGCCTAACTTTACTGGAACATTACTGGGTAGGAGAAACAGAGGACTATCATGTATGCTAAAAATATATGTTGTAATTTCACTGGTAGCTGTAACATCTTTACAAAACTATATGAGGATATGTGGTGCATTGGAAGCTGTGTGTTCATCAGTAAAGTTTATTTTCTTGAGGAAGGTGAAAACCAACCAACCTTCTTAACCCAGTTGGTTAAGAAAGTTGAAATCCCCTTTGTATTCCCTTGCTCACTTAAAAGCAGACAGCAGATCCATTTTCTGAGTGAGAGAAACTTGTCAAAAGACCTGCAGAGCTTCTTTTTTGCCATCATGATATAGCTTCCTTGCTGATTTTCTGTTCTGAACCCAGTTGAAGGAGAAAAATATTCCATAAGGCAGTCACTGGAAAGATATTGATTTGGGATTTGTCATTGCAGTTAAAATTTTAGCTTTCAGGCCAAATGGTCCTGTCAGTGCTGTGGGACTACGTACATTTCTCCTTTTTTATAAAATGTTATTTGTAAAATAAATATATGGCCCCTGAAGTCCTTGGCTCTGACTTTAAGCTTACAGTCTGAAAGTGACCAGCCCAACTTTCTGGTGTTCTCCATATGTCTATCCCTACTATCCCCATTATCCCCACTCATTGTAGTTAATGACCATGTTGAATCAAGTTGATAAGAGAGGTAGTTCAACATAGTATGCAGGAAGTTGGACAGGGTGTTGGAGCAGATGATCTTTCCTGTGATTCTATGAAAAAAAATAAGTGGAAGAAAATAATAAAACTAGATCAAGTAATTGGATATTTAACTTGAATGTTCTTAGAATTTGTGGTGCTCTAGATACTTTTGAATCACAGCTCTTATCCAACCGTGATGTTCTTACTGGTGGGGCCTGATGGATGTCAGTCCAGCAGCATCTGGTTCCATGGACCAATGAAAGGGACTCAGTGAATATCAGGAGGCTAATGGTGTTCAGGGGCAGAGGGAAAGAAAGGATTTAGTGAGGTATAATTTTTTTAGTTTACAATGAAAGAGATGAGTAGAGCAAAAGAGCAAGCCCTGTGTAATGGTATGTGGGAATGACCTTGGGAGACAGGAGGGAAAGTTGCAGACTGGACAACGGCATGTAAAAGGTATTTCAGGCCACAGAAGGAGGGAGAGCATGGGAAACGTTTCAAAAGGGACCCTCCCTAGTTTTCCAGAGAGTAAAAGGAAAAGAGGGGAGAAATACTTTCAGTCTTGCAAGATTCTGTTAATGTAACCTTACCATAAAGATAGAGCTAGTATTCCTGGTTGTGCTTCTTATCTGGACTACCTTGCAGGGCTAACATCCTGTGAGGAATTACCTTGGAAATCCACCTTGCACTTTTGCCTGATTTAACCAGTGTTGGAAATGGTATGTCTAAAAACATTGGATAGTACCAAAGTCCTAATAATTTAGGCCTGGAAATTAGTAGAACTGATTGTAGATACTAGCTTTTTTGTTAGTAAGCTGGTTGACTAATGGACTTCAATATCTGTTCCAGCTTCTTGATATGGCTGCTTCCAAGTGAGCGCTCACCAAGCCATAAAAAAGATTATCTTCCTAAATTGAGCAATAACTTCAGGAGACAAAGGTTTCTTGAGTGCAGATAGCAGAAAATTCAGACTCAACCCAGCCAACCACAGCTTTGAGCTATTTTAGAATCTAGGCTGTAGCAGTGGTGGTATTCAACCTTTACCATCTGCAGCTTATAAAAGCATTTCTAAACCAACTAATTCAATTAGCAAGCAGCAGGAACACATCTGTACCACCAAAGGAGGATTTGTTGATAGGTACTGACTTGAAAAAGGCAGTGATCTAACCCTTGCCTAAGAAAGAAAAACTCCTCATTGGATCCAGCAGAATTGAACAATTATAGGTCTGTTTCAAAGCTGCATTTTGTGGTGAGTTGGTGAGGCAGTGGTCACTGCCCAGCATGAATCTGGGAGGAACCAGATTTTTTTGCAAGCCTTATCAAGAAGCATAGCAAGATTTGGGTTGGAAACAGCATCAGTTGCCATAATGGATTATCTGTATCTTGAGCTGGAAGAGGGAGTGTGATGCTATAATTTTTCCTCCCCTTTCAAAGTCATTTGACATATTAGAGTATCACAGTCCTTTTGTGTTAGTGAAGTCACCTGACAGTGCCATGGTGGCTTTGCCCTCTCCTATAGGGATTAGTTTTGAATGTCAGTGGCTCTGTTGCATTGTTTTGTGCTATTGGATACCTAACAAAGTCTACCATGTTCTCCTCTCCACTTTAATATCAAAGTACAACTATTTTATCAAAAGTTTGGAATCTGACAGCATCTGAAGTAACCAGTCTTTGCTCCTCTTTTTCACCTCATCCCTGTATAGCCCCAGACTAGGAATGCTTTCTGGCCATATTCTCCGGTAGCTGGGGCAAATTGTCATTTATCGTCTTATTCTAATGGGGAAAATTGGGTCCAAATCCTCCATGTTTCTCTCATTTAGACTATTTTAATGATTTAATATTGGGATCCCCTTGAAGATTATGGGAAGCTATGGTTAGTGCAGAAAGTAGTAGCTTATTTCATGGCAGAAACAGGCCATAGAGGGCATGTAATTTTGATCTTTGATTGTACTAGATTCCTGTTTGCTGATGGTCTTAATATAATAAAGCCCTAAGTGGCCTTTGTTCCAAGTTTAGCTATGATTGAAGATGGGAATAAAAAGAAGAAGCAAAGAGGAGAAAGAAAACAAGATAAAATAGGAAAAAGCAAGCTTAACTTTTAGGTTTTTGACAGATGCCTCTGCAAATGTACAGAAGTGGATGCAGACTTTTATTTATTTAATTGTGTTAGAATTTGTTTGCAAATCTGTTAAATAAAGCAAATTATATGTATATTTAAAGCATGCTTATTGGATCTTGTTGCATTTGGCTCAAAATAATAAATGCAGAAGTCTGGATGATTTGGTACAAAGAGGAAATTCCAGAGTCTACAGCCATTGGAATTCTTTTTTAAAAAAACCTTCAGATATCCTAGCTTTTTTAGTAAAACACAGCTTACTTAATACTCTCTACAGAATTATGCAGTTAATACCTCATAAATAATCCACTCCACATCACAAAGGCGATAGATAAATCCTGTATTGTGGTAATTTTATGTCTCTTTACTCCATTCTTAGCTGCCATTTTACTCTGAATAAAAAGAAAGCGGCAGATGATTATGTCTTGTCAGAAAAAATGAAAACTTGACAGGCCTGCCACTCCCTGCCTCCCAAATTTTAATATATAATGCTAACAGTCATAGAACAAAAGGACGAATCTGTGTTTTCTGTCTTTTTTCTAATTTGGGACATAGTTATTGATTAAAATTGGGAAGTTTTACAGCATATCTTTATTATAAATGTCCATTAGTTCTATAAGAGTTGGTTGGCCACATCTTCTCCA